TATTGAACCATTTTAAAAAATTTATTATCCAATCTGTTTTTTAGAGAATAGCATAAATGGATAATTATTATTTTTATCCGTTTTGCCATCACTAGATAGTAGTATCATGTGTTAAGATCTTGAAAGCAAGCAACTTGGCAAGTGGGAGCTATATACAGGGGCAAATGCAGTATTTAAGCTCCATGGGTTCAATCCTAAAAAGATTTTGTCATGAACCCATTGTATTTTTAAAATTATGGTTCAAACCTACTATTTATCACAATTTTAATGATTTTTTTACACATAAATTTATGCTTCCGGAAGTACTGGACTCAGTTGAACCCAGCGTTACAACTCTACATTCGCCTCTGACTATATAGCCTGCAACAAAGCATGTGCTTTCTATGGTATTGACCTACATGATGTTATGACTTCAATAACAATTCTGACATGCATTTCTATCTTTTGGCGATACATAAATATTATATGTCATATGCTTTTTTCTCTATCAAGTAGTAGCAGTTAACTTTGGAAATACTGGGGTTGCAAGCAAATGTCAATTTCACAATTACCCCATTTAGGTGTCTACATATATTTTCACAGAAAAGAGGCAGGAAATTTTCTATCCACGTTACAATTTAGGCTTCTTTTTGTTAGGGTATCTGCTAGTTGATTTTCTGCAATTTGAATCTAATGACAGTTACTTGTGAAAACCTTGGATTTTCTAAGTTAAGGGTGATAGGGAGGTCACTTGGCACGTTTGCCACAATTTAACATAACGAGCTCCTAGTAATACGAATAATTAGTTCAACTTTTTAGAGTTTAACATATATGTACTTGCAATGGAATGTTTATATCACCGGGTCACTTAAAAATAATTATATGTAACTGTCTATATTAATTAAGTTAATTAAGTGGAATTAGTAACCTGAGACATTGTTAGTATATACTATAAGATAATTAAAAAAATATTGCAGTCAACGTTCCACATTTTGATATGACATTTGATGTCCCAAATAGAGGAAGCACTAGAAAATATGAGCTTGGTGTTTGGTATAAGTCAATTTAAAGAGAATTAAGGGTCTCCCGCCTTGTTCAAAGATTGATGTTTAGGGGTTTCGACTAATAGCCTGTTTGGCCAAGCTGGAAAAATCATCTTATTTTGAGAAGTGTTTTTTTCAAAAGTGCTTTTGAAAAAGGTATTTTTATAGAGAAGCAGTTTGTGTTTGGCTAATCAGTCTGAATAGTACTATGAGAAATAATTTGTGTTTGGCCAAGCTTTTTAGAAAGTGCTTTTAAGTGTCAAATTACGAATAAGGACATGAATAGATTTACTTAATAATTAATATTATAAGTAAATAAATAATCTCATCCCTAGAAAATATTTTCCGAAAAAAAATATTAAAGTTAAATATATTAAAATTCCTTCAACAAATATAAAGCATTCATCCCTAAAGTCATTATATATTAAAAAGTTTTCCTAAAAATAAGAAGAAATATTTATAAATTAATATCCTAAGTATTATGTTTAAGGGTTATTTTGGTATATACTATATTTTGTTAAGGGTATTTTAGGTAAGAAGAAAAGCCAAAACTGCTTCTGCTTCTGGAAAGAAACTACTTTTTTTTGCTTCTCTGAAACTGCTTCTACTTCTTCCCAAAAACACTTTTTTCTCCAAATAAACTTGGTCAAACACCTCAAGTTAGGGAAAAAAAATGTTTTTGGGAAAAAAAGCACTTTTAGCCTCTTGAGAAGCTTGGCCAAACAGGCTATTAGTTTCCTGCGATGTCATATTATTTTCTTTTAGTTTAATAAATTTAATTTAGCCACCTTAGATGGTTTTTATTAATTAAACAAATGATTAAATGTCCCATGAGGCTCCATTGAAAATCAACAAGTACCAATATATGGAATTTAGATAACCTAACGTCATTGCTCCACAGGAATTCGAACCAGAAACAAATACAACAACAAGAACGATTCCAATGTAATTTCATAAGCGTAGTTTGAGAAAGATAATGTGTATACAAACTCTTGTGGGGTCTAGAAGGGTAGTGTGTATGCAAACTTAATCGTACTCTTTACCTTGTGAAGTTAGAGAGGTTGTTTCTTCATGATATAGTTTCGGCTAATTTTTTGTCTTCGTATGTCATATAGGTTACGTGTTTGAGCCGTGAAAGCAGCTACTAATACTTGCATTAGGTTAGGTTGTCTGCATCACTATGGGTGTACGCAGGAATTTTTGTAAGCGGTGTCGAAATTTATAGAAGAATTGAGATATAACTTTGAGTATCATACTTTTAGAGAAGAAATAGCCTTAGTTCATTGGTTTTGTTGAGTCTTAAGTTGGAAAAGATCCTAAGTTCAATTTCACTTCATCACAATTTTTAATCATAACGGCTCTCTCAAATATTTGCAAAAGAAAAATGCGCAAGTTGAGGTTTGAACCTCTGACCTTCTAGAGCAAAACCAACACACCAAGACACAATTTATGTCAAGTGGTATTATTATTTTTTACTTATCCGTTTCCGTACAGTAATAATACACATATTTAGTACAATTTTCCGACGAAGCAGTACCACGTGACACCGCTTCGATAAGCGTGCATCACACCCCTTGGGTACACCCTTCTCTAAACCCTGCGTAAATACGGAGACTGACTTGTGAAATGACAAAATTAGCCTTACAATAAAGTCAAAACAAACTGCAACTTGCCAAGAAACATGGAGAAGCTGAGCCGGAATTATGCCAAAGCAATCCTCAACACACAAGTCTTATCCATCCAAATAAAGCCGTTTTTCTGCTTTCACAAAAAGCAGTGATCAGTAGGGGAAGGAACAGATATGTAAGTGGGACGGTGGACCGTTGATGAATGATATACTCATCCTTTTAAATTCCACAGAACGTGTCAAAACCCCACAGCTTAATTCGCTTATCTTTATCCCATACATAGACGAATTAAGCTAGACGATTATTTGCAGGTTCGGACAAACTTAGTAGTTTTTGTATTTGTTATTAAAAAATTCATTATTTTGTTGTTGTTATTATTTATTGTTGATCTGTCTCTTTTTAACTTTTCTTTGAGTCGAGGGTGCGTCTATTGATAACAACTTTCTACCTTTACAAAGGTCAGGATTAGGTCAGCGTACATGCTACCATGCCCAAAACCCTACTTCCTGAGATTACACTGGGTATATGTTGTTAATATTTAAACAAGAGGGGTTGCTTTGATGGTAACCAACCTCCACTTCCAACCAAGAGGTTGTGAGTTCGAGTCTCCCCAAGAGCAAGGTGGGAAGTTCTTGGAGAGAAGGATGCCGATGATTTATTTGGAAACAACCTCCCTACCCCAGGGTAGAGGTAAGGTCTGCGTACACACTACCCTCCCCAAACCCCACTAAGTGAGATTATACTGGGTTGTTGTTATTATGAATTCTGTGACAAATTTTAACTCTATAAACTTCAAATCCTTGTCTCGCCTATAATTTTCTATATTGGGGTTCATTGATGCTAATGAATTGATACTGATGCTTATTTCCAATTTAGTCAAGTTTGACCTTTGATGGGACTATAGCTCTGTAGTAAGTGGTACATAGAACAATTTACAAGAAGAGGGTGGATGTCAAAAATGGAATATGACGAAATATGGTAGTGATCAATGTACATAGGTAAAATATATATGAAATTTTTCTTGATTCTGAACATACATGATAGAACAGTACTGATTGTTCATATCAGGAAAAAAGTTGTTCGAGTTGTCGATTAGTTTGTGGACTGATATGGGATAATGCAATTGTATGCTTTCTTTGTCCGAGTCAAAAGATTCAGTATATATACTAGCTAATGTTTTTGGAATGGCATCTGGTTCAGAAAAAATAAGAGGATGGGAATTAAAAAGGCCACTATTTTACTGTTAGAAGTGTGCTTTTATAACATGTCTTCTTTATTTAAAAAAAATAAATATAAAAAATCACTCTCAGAGTAGGGTTAGACGTACGGACCACTACTGTTCATTAAAAACAGAAATAGTAATATTATATGTTGGAGGGGACATGATCTTCTGCATTGCAAAAGACTCACGCTAGTAATTAGTAATTACTACATAAGTCTTTATTTCGAATATTTTACTGGATATCTGTCATTTTCATCGGTGAAAATAATGTGTAATTATGTTCATCATATATAATTTAAGTAGATAAAAAGAAATACGTAGTAATTTTTTATCTCTATATCGTATTTTAAACCTAATCTTCAAGGTTAACACCTATGTCTTATTAAATTTAGGGTGTGTTTGTTATGAAGGAAAATGTTTTCTCTTGTTTGGTTGGTAAGTGAAACTTTTTCGGGAAATATTTTCTAGTGTTTGGTTAGGAAGTAGAAAATATTTTTTAGGAAAATAATTTATTATGTTACATTCCTCACCCTTCTTCTCCCAAGTTCCCATGTTTTTTGTCATTTCCCCCCACCTCCGAAATACCCAACGTTAATTATCAGGAATGTATTTTCTTTAAGAATTTAATTATTTTTAAAAAAATTCAAATACACCCGAAAGAACTAATGTGTTGCTTTACTTTTTTCTACAAAAATAATGTTGAAATTTGTGCTCCATAACTAAAATGAAAAAAACCTTTTTTTGGTTGAAAAAGAAAATACTCTTTCTACAACATGAAAATAAAGTACTCATTTTATTGAAATGAAAGGAAATACTTTTTCAACATCATAAAAAGAAAGTACTTTTTTTGTTAAAATATAAAAAAAATACTTTATTTATTTTATGACAAGAAAAAATTCTCATTTGTTAAAATGAAAAAAAAATACTCTATCTATAACATGAAAAAAAGTACTATAATAATATTTTTATTTATTTAAGAAAAGGTTGTACCTACTCATGGAGTAACAAAAGAGAGGCAAATGAGAGAATCTACAGATTGATTGATTGGGCATTTAGGATTGATCTATGGTTTATGAAGTATGGAATGTTAGATCTAGTTTTAATGATGCAAATAATATATTTGTGCAGGAAATCAATTACAAAAGAACAAGGAATCAAGGAGCTACTACAAGATTGCTAAAGTCAATCTTGATGCTTAAGGAAAGAAATCAATTAGCAAAGATTACGATTCAATCAGCAAATCTGGATGCTTAAGGAAAGAAATCAATCAGCAAAGGTTACGGAGAGCTGTGATGGAAAGAATCAAGCAAGCTTAACTTAAGACATTAATCAAGACCAGCACATTCAAATCCGGAAGATCGAAGATTCTGTGAAGAGTAGCTGAGCAGCTATTTTTGGAAGGACCAACAATCAAGGAGTAAACCTTCATCATAAACAACTGTAGAAGGAAAGCTGTCAAGGAAGAGCAACTGGCAAGCAATCTTATTTCTTGGAAAGAATCAATCTCTTTCCAATGATCAAATCTCTTGGGTTGTCAAGCCTCCGTCAACAAACGATCTTCACCAAAGTATTTATACTCAGCTTCAAGCCTTAGACAAACATACTTTGATCGAACCAAAAAAATTCTCTCTTTGTTCTACTGCAAACAAACACTGTAGTTCTCTAAGATCTGTTGTGTAACAAGTCAGGGAAAAAAAGAGTACAATACTGGTGAGGCATTGTATCAAAAGAGACGAGTATTATAGGAACAGAGCTACCAAGTCATTTTCATAGTGCTCGGAGAAACACATTTACTAAAGAGAACTCCCTTGCAACCCAAGGGGACTAGACTAGGATTCACATTGAATCTGAACCAGTATAAAATTCTGGTGTCTTTAATTCCTGCACTTACTTTCTATATTTTACATTCTGCTATTATAACTGTTAGGTCATTGCATCTAGTTGACTAATTGACAAACTAGTCAACTAATAAGAGATTAAGTTTAAAAATATACAATTCACCACCCCCCCTCTTGTCATTTCAATTGGTATCAGAGCAAGACTTACATTTTACTTTTGCTTAACAGTTTGTGAGAAAAGATCATGGCAAATCAAGTTATCATAGGAGCTCTCTTCCAGGAAGGAAATTCACAAGTTAGACCACCATACTTCAATGGACAACATTTCTCTCATTAGAAAGTGCGGATGGAGATCTTTGCCAAGACTTATGACGTTAAAGTCTGGAAAGTCATCAAAAAGGGGAACTATCCCTTACCAGCTGCTACTCCACCACTTGCTGATCCTGAAGATATAGATTCATATACAAAAGAGTAAATGGAAGTGGTACAAGTTAACAATAAAGCGAGAAGTCTGTTTCACAATGCTATAAGTGATGAAGAATATGAGAACATCTCTAGCTGTGACACAGCCAAAGAAATATGGGACAAGCTTGAGGTCACATATGAAGAAACCAGCAAAGTAAAGGAAACACATATTAACATGTTGGTTCATGATTACGAACTCTTCTCAATGAAAGAAGGAGAATTTATTGAAGAGATGTTTGCTAGGTTTAGCAAAATAATTAGCGATCTAAAGGCATTTGGCAAGCCTTATACCAGTGGTGATCAAGTTAGAAAAATTCTCAGAAGCCTTCCAACCACTTGGCAGACCAAAGTAGTCACACTGGAATCTCAGGATCTAAACAAATTATCTTTTGATGAACTACGAGGAGAACTCATAGCTTTTGAAAAGATGCATCTCAGGAAGACTAGTCAAGAAGAAAAAAAAAGAAAATAGTTGCATTCAAGACTTCAACTGAAACAGCTGAAAACGAACTTGACGATGATCTTGAAGCTCTAAAAGAAGAGATTGCTATGCTTTCAAGAAACATGGATGAATTAATGAGAAGATTCAGAAATACAAAAAAAAAGGAAGAATTCTACCAAGACAATCCAGACAATACAACGAGCAGGACAAGAATAATGGAAAGTGCTATGAGTGTGGAAGATTTGGGCATATTCAAGTTGAGTGCCCAGAACTAAAAAGGAAGATCTCTAAAGGCTTTAACAAGAACAAATCTTTTGAAAGCTAGAATGATGAGGACAATTCAGACCACGAAGAGATAGCAAATCTTTGCTCCATGATGATTCTGGAAAACTAAATGAACAAATCCTCAGGATGCTGGACAGATGAGGACACTTCAGATAAAGAAAATGAAAAGTGTTTCATGGCACGAGGTGAAACAAGTGAGGTAAGATCTTATAATTGTGAAAGATGCAATGAATTGCAGGGTATTCTTGATTTAACCTTGAAAGAGTCTCAAAAAATGATGAATGAACTTAAGAGACTAACTAAAGAGGTTAAAGACTGGAAACTCAAACATGAAATATGTGAAATTGAAAAAAAAAGTACTTCAAGAAGAGTTTGAGGAATTGCAAATGCAACTTAATGGCATGCGTAAATCCACCAGTCACAGTTCTGTCAGGTCAAACCAGACAACTTACAAGTCAACTAGAAAATGACCACCTAGAACTAAGTCCACTAGTACTAACACTAATGAAAGACCTAAAGGTGGGTCAGAAGTTACGTGTCACTACTATAATAAAAGTGGATATAAATATTCTTTTTGTCGTTTTCGTAAAGTAAACGTTTTGGGATGGGTTTGGAAACCAAAAAATAATTCTAAATTTGGTAATACTAACCCTCTAGGACCCAAGCAAGCTTGGGTACCTAAAAGAAAGTAATCATTTTATTTTGCAGGAACACCACAGAATAAGCCGCAAAAGAAAATGGTATCTAGACAGTGGGTGTTCCATTCATATGACAGGGGACAAAAACCTGTTCAAAGAATTTATAAAAATTGATGGAGGAAGTGTTAAGTTTGGGGATGACTCAAAAGGTCAAATAATTGGTACTGGAATAATTCCCTTCAATAATAACTATGACATCACTGAAGTTTATCTCATCGATGGACTCAACTACAACCTCCTGAGCATAAGTCAACTATGCGACTCAGGATATGAGGTAAATTTTAAGAAAACAGGTTGTGATATTGAAGACGAATCAGGTAAAATAGTCCTTCCTGGAAAAAGGTATGGAAATGTTTATATCCTTGATGGTTTTGAAAAGATAGATGGTCATATTTGCTTAACTTATATGTCTGATGATCCATGGTTATGACATAGGAAACTTGGTCATGCTAGCATGTATTTGATAGAAAAATTATCCAAACATGAGTTAGTTGTTGGCATACCCAAACTGAATTTTTCTAGAACTCATATCTGTGATGCATGTCAAATTGGTAAGCAGACCAGAAACTCTTTCAAAAATAAAGATATAGTATCTACTCCAAACCTCTGCAATTACTTTATATGGATTTATTTGGGCCTACTAGAACTACTAGTATAGGAGGAAAAATGTATGCTTTTGTTATTGTTGATGATTTTTCACGTTTCACTTGGGTAATTTTCTTATCTCATAAGGATGAAACATTAAGAAATTTTGAAGTTTTCTGCAAAAAGGTTGAAAGAGAAAAGGAATATCTGATCTCAACAATTCAGAGTGATCATGGAGGAGAATTTGAAAGTAGAGCATTTGAAGATTTCTGTAATGATCAGGGATACACTCATAATTTCTCTGCACCACGCTCACCACAATAGAATGGGTCGCAGAAAGAAAAAATAGAACCCTCCAAGATATGGCAAGAACCATGTTACTAGATCATTCACTACCAAATCACTTTTGGGCAGAAGGTGTAAGTACAGTGTGTTACATCTCAACCGATGTCTTATAAGGCCTATTTTGAAGAAGACTCCATATGAATTATGGAAAGGTAAACGTCCCAATATCAGTTACTTTCATCCCTTCAGAAGTAAGTGTTTTATTCACAATAATGGTAAGGATAACCTTGGAAAATTCGATCTAAGAAGTGATGAAGGTATTTTTCTGGGTTACTCATTAAATAGTAGGTCTTTTAGAGTCTATAATAAATGCACATTATGTGTGGAAGAATCGGTACATGTTATATTCGATGAAAATAATTTCTTGGTTGAGAAAGGAATTACTACAGGTGATGAAGATCAAGCTCAATAAATTCAGGAGACAAGCAAGTCTCAAGAGTCAACTAATATAGCTGCTACAATAGAGTCAACTAGTGAAATCAGCAGTAGTGTACTAGATCAACCAATTGAATCAACTGCTAATGTAGTGCATCCAAATGAATGGAGAAGCGAGCCTGAATATCCTTAAAAATTCATCATAAGGGATCCAAATGAAAGAATGAAAACCAAGGGAGCTCTCAAAAAGAAAGAAAATGTTGCATTAATCTCTCAGGTTGAACCAAAGAAGATAGAGAAAGTGCTAAAAGATTCAAGTTGGGTTCAAGCAATGCAGGAAGAGTTAGATCAGTTTAGTAAGAATCAAGTGTGGAATCTGATACCCAAACCTGAAAATGTTTCTGTAATCGGAACAAAGTGGGTTTTCAAAAACAAATTGAACGAGGATGGAAAGGTCGTAAGAAATAAAGCCAGACTATTTGTTCATGGTTACTCACAACAGGAAGGAGTCGACTATGATGAAACCTTCGCTCCGGTAGCTCGTTTGAAATCCATACGAATTCTTCTGGCATACGCATCATTTAAAGGATTTAGGTTGTTTCAGATGGATGTCAAAAGTGCCTTTTTGAACGGATTTATTGAGGAAGAAGTATATGTGAAACAACCGCCTGTGTTTGTAGATTCAAAGTTTCCTTACCATGTATACAAGCTCACTAAGGCGTTTTATGGACTAAAGCAAGCTCCATGTGCTTGGTATGATAGACTTAGTTCTTTTCTTGTTGATCAGGGCTTCACAAAAGCTAAAATAGACACTACCTTGTTTATTAAAAGATCATCAGAAGGTAATCTCATTATTCAGATTTATGTTGATGATATTATATTTGGTAGTGCTAACCCTCTTATGTGCAAGGAATTTTCAAATCTTATGCAAAGCGAATTCAAAATGAGCATGATGGGAGAGCTAACATTCTTCCTTGGACTACAAATTCAACAATCTGAAGAAGAAACCTTTATATGTCAGACCAAGTACACAAAAGAACTAATTCAAAAGTTTAGCATGAGCAATGCAAAATCCATTGGCACACCAATGAGTCTTTCCACAAATCTAGACAAAGATGAACAGGGAATTCCTGTTGATGAAACTAAATATCGTGGAATGATTGGATCATTACTGTATCTGACGGTAAGTTGACCGGAGATTATGTTCAGTGTATGTAAATGTGCCAGGTTTCAGTCAGCTCCTAAGGAATCACATATAACAGCAGTAAAAAGAATCATTCTATATCTCATTGGGACTGTATCTCATGGACTATGGTATCCTCGCTCCAACTCCTTTAAATTAGAAAGTTTTTCAGATGCTAAACTTGCGGGTGATAAGAAAGATAGAAAAAGTACAAGCGGTACATGTCAATTACTTAGGAAGGCATTGATATCCTGGAATAGTAAAAAACAAGCATCAGTTGCATTATCTACTACTGAAGTTGAATACATTGCCACTGGACAATGCTGCGCACAATTACTATGGATGTCCCATCTAATGGGTGACTATGAACTTTCTTTTAAACCTATACAAATTTTGTGTGATAATTCGAGTGCTATTTGTCTTTCAAAAAATCATGTGCATCATTCTAGAGCAAAGCATATAGATACCAAGCATCACTTTATTAGAGATCATGTTCTTAAGGGAAACATAGAAATATCTTTTGTTGGAATTACTGATCAGTTAGCAGATATTTTTACTAAGCCTTTATTAGAGGATAGATTTTGTGCTTTAAGAAAATTACTTGGCATTACTTGCTTAACTAATAACCTA